TTTGAAGACACCTCGCTTGATAGACACTGTTGACTCGCTCATGCTGAGCTCAAGGCCAACGGCACCATTAACTTGGGCCGGAAGGAAGCTCATGGAACACAGATCTTTCTGTGTAAGACACATCCCAGCATTCTGGGACCGCTGTGCTTGGGGGCCTCTTACAACCATGAAGCCAACAACAAAAAGGCACAATACTGTGAAAAATGTGGCATTAGCCAGAATACCAGAGGGAGGATGACAGGTGTGTGCAGGGTGACAGGGGGAGCAAGGAGGCCGAGGGTTCCCGCACACAACATAGCAGGCTCAAATTCTCGCTGCCTTGTGCCTGCCCACTCGGATCTAAGGACCGCAGGAAACTTACTGGGTAGACGAGTTTGCAAATACGAAATCCACAAATAATTCAGGCGACCATATATGCAAAACATTGCCACGGTGTCATGGAATTAATAGGAAAGTTGTCAGGGAGAGAGCTTTCTTCTCTCTGGAGCTGAGTCTTTGAAAACCACGGTCTGTTTTGCACTCCCAGGAGTTCTCAATTTGGACCAGCCACGTTTCAAGGGCTTAAGAGCCACACGTGGCTGGTGGCTTCTGTATCACACGGTGCCAGTCCCTATGGCTTTCTTCAGATTCTCAGAGGGGCCTATGAACTTAAAAGAATGATGATAATAGGTTGATGCCGGATAGAATCCCCTCAGAGAGCGCATGACAGTACCAAAGCAAGCCCCTTAGCACGGGGGAGCGCAGGGGAGGGAGAATATTCTTTGCATCCTGGCTTGTAAGAGCGCAGGATGGGAGAGACATAAAGGGTCCATCATCCACAGAACTGGATCCCTGGAAGAGGGCAGGTTCACGGGCTAGAATATGCAGCATCCCTGCCAAGCAAAGAGCCCAAGCTCCGTGTAACCACAGATGAAGTTTGCAAACTCGGGGTTGGGCTGGTGAGGACAAAAGCCAGCTGCGGAAGGTCACCGATGTGATACTATTTATACAACATTTAACCACAGGCATGGTGAACCCCCCCATTGTAGCTATGTGTTTATCCGTATGTAGCAAATGCATTTTTCTCATGAATAACAAATACCTCTTTAGTGATAGTAGTTACTTCAGGGAGGGAGGGGGAAGATTTGGACTGGGGTAAGGACAACACAGGTTCTAATGACAGTAGAAACGTTCTCTTTCTTCAGCTGGACAGTGGTGGACAGACAGATACTCATTAGGTTATTTGGGATACTTTGCGTGTGTTGGCTAAAATATTCCACAGCAAGGTTTTCTGTGCCTATGAAGAAGCAGGCTCCCTGCTGAGGGGGTAGCCCGATGTGGGACTCGATCCCGGGACCTTGAGATCATGAGCCGAAGGCAGACGCTTAATGACTGAGCCACCCAGGTGCCCCTCATCTATTATTTTATTTGGTAATATTTATTCAACGAACGTATGAGCCAACGGGTACCACGGGGCACCAGAGAGAAAACAGAATTATGTTCTCAGAACCAGGAGTGAAAACAGCCCAGCCTTCATCACAAGACTGTCAACTGTACCACAATAACGACTAAAAGCCAAGATTTTGATTTATTAGTTTGTCATCTTATTCTTTCCAGACAAAACAAATCAATTTAATCTTATCATTTTTTTTTCCTTCTTCAATTGATCTTTTTGTTTTGGCCTGGCACTGGGGTGGGAGGGCAAGTGGGTTAAGTTGTCAAGTTCACAGTCTTTGAAGTGTAACTCAATTTTTTATGTGATCTTTCCATATATATTTTATTCAGTAAAGTTATTTGGAAAAAAACATAAAATATATAAATAATAGGGTGCCCAGTTGGCTCAGTTGGTGGAGTGTGTGGCTCCTGATTTTAGGTCATGAGTTCGAGCCCCACATTGGGTGTAAAGATTACTTTAAAAATCTAATCTTTAAAATACGTATATAACGAAGACACCTGGGTAGCTCAGTGGGTTAAGCATCTGCCTTCGGCTCAGGTCATGGTCCTGGGGTCCTGGGATCGAGCCCCACATCGGGCTCCCTGCTCAGCGGGGAGCCTGCCTCTCCCTATCCCTGCTGCTCTCCCTGCTTGTGCTCTCTTGCTCTCTCTCATAAATAAATAAGATTAAAAATCTTTAAAAAATAACAATTTAAAAATATATAAGATATATACACTACTATGCATACGATGGTATATACTATATATAATATAATTATTATACAAGGTAATGCAAGTTACATCTATTATTCTATTATATACAATATGTAACATATTACAAATGTAACACATACTGTAATGTGAAATGTCTCCCACTCAGAGAACGCTCTGGGTAGAAGCTGCAATTGTTCCCATCTCATAAGGAGGACACTGAGGCACGGGGGCAGTTGGACACTTGTGGGAGAGCACTCGCTGGGCCAGGAGGGACTGAACTAGGACAGTCCCTGGAAGAGCCCTTGGGGACGGGAGGAGGGGACGGGCTGGAGGCCTAGAGGCCAACTTTAATAAGGGTGTGTGCACCTTGGGGGCCCGGACTGGAGTGTCCCCGGCCCGAACCCGCCTTCTCCAGGTCACTCCAGGTGACCCTGTGGGGCAGCGCTGCTAAATGGGGAGGTGCAAAGCTCCCCGGATCATCAGTGAGCCTCCCAGGGGGCCCGGGGGGGGGCAGTGAGGCCTGCGGCGTCCCCCCTCGCCCTCCCCCCAGCAGACCCAGGTGGCTCCACAGCCTGACCTTCTGGCTCTAGCTGAACAGCTGCTCTGCGGTCCCCTCGGGCCCCCTGGTTGCACACATCCGGCCTCAAGTCCCCAGTGGAAGAATTCGGCTCCTATCGGACACCGGGGGGTCTGCCTTCCTCCAGCTGCCCAGCCAGCGGACAGCGAGTGGCCCGGAGGCCGCAGACCCTCGTGGAGGCCTGTCTCTTCCTCTCAGTGACTGCGGACCACTGCCTCAGTTTCCCCATCAGTGAATCGGAAACCATCGTCCTACCGGTCCACGGCTTGTAGGGAGGATTCCACAAAGTCTTAAGTTAAAAAAAAAAATTCAAATAGTACAAAAGGCACAGCAACGGAAAGCTCCCCAGAAGCTGGGTGTCTTCACCCATCACTGACCCAACTGCGACATCAACAGACGATTTATTTGGGCAAACTGGGGCGCACGGAATAGGACTGGGTGTCAGCTGGACTTCTGGAATGACTGTTTGATGCCACAAAATGCAATCAATAAAAGCTTTGCAACTGAGCTGGGAAAGATCCCTCCCGTGAGACCGCAGTGTGGCAATGCGCTCTCGGGCTGCCTGTCGTGTGTCTGACAACAGTCAGCTTTTCATGAGGAAAAACGTCCAGCATAACCAAAAATAAAGAGTAAAAGGAACTTGGTGTCTGCACTTTGCCAGGTGAGCACGGCTCCCGTCGCCGCCTTCCCCCCCCCCCCCCCCCCCCCCCCCCCCCCCCCAGGCCATTGGTGGATGTTCTCTTGCTGGAGTATTTGAAAGCAGGCACCGGCCGGGACACCATTTCACCCAAGAAGATTTCGGTAGGCTGCAGTTGACTTTGCAATACTTCATTCCGCCCACCAGGAAACAGATACAGCGAGTACTGGAAAATGCCAACAGAAGTCTGGTCAGGACGCTGGAGGGTGTTCACGGTGGGGCTCTTAGGGCTTCTCTGCACGTTTGCAGAGGTTTTCACCAGCAAATCCCCCAAAGATCAAAGAGCAAAGGAAGTTCTCTCTCTGCTACCCACCCCACCCCCTGCCTGGGTTCCCAGGGGCAACGTGCTCGCCAGCTTCCCCCCGGGATCCTTCCAGAGTCTGGGTAGCGTCGTCGTTGCTGTGTCTTTATTAATAGCAGGATTGTAGTAGTAGTGAAACCAAGTCGGGCAAAACTCAGGGCTGTGAGTCACTCAGACCTGGCTCAGGGCCCCCCTGATGCCTCCTCCCACTCTGACCTTGTGCACGGCGGTCCCAGCTCCCAACCTCAGTCTCCTGCTCTGTAAACTGGGGATAAATCCTCACCCTTGCTGGATGGCTGGGAGGATCCAGGGTAAAGCCCCACCCCAGCCCCACCCAGAACCAGGCTCAGGGCAGGTGCTGAGAACATAAAGAAGTCCTTTCCCTAGTGCACCACCTGGTCATTAGAGCTCCTGGGTCTGAGAGAGGAGGGGCTGGGGGCCTGGACTCCTGGGTCTGAGGGAGGAGGAGATGGTGTCTGGATTTCTGTTCTGAGGGAGGAGAGACTGACGGTCTGGTATCTTGGGTCTAAGGGAGGAGGGGCTGGGGACCTGGACTCCTGGGTCTGAGGGAGAAGGCAGCTGGGGGTGGGGACTTGGTATTAAAGAACAGGGCTTTGGGAATAGTATCCCTTATTCCTGGAGGCCAGACTCCCATCCCATGGAGGAAGGCACAAAGCATGGTGCTCTGGGTCTCCCATCCCAAGTAAGGTATGTGAAGGGGCCCTGTCTCCCCTTTTCTCACTGCCATCAGGCCTGGCCCTTGGGGGTTCACAATACATTTTGTCCCCTCTGTCCTGGGACCAGAGCCCAGAGTCCAAGCTGGTCTAAGTTTGGAAGGGGGAGGGAGGGGGGCAGCGGGTCAGAGGGGGTGAGGGAGGGGTGTGGGGGGACAGGATGTCTCTGAGCTGTCACACACACCCCTGTCTCGGGCCCAGAGAAAGGGAGGGACAAAGGCTCTGAGAGAGAGTCAGGAACAAAGACGGGAGGAGGGAGACAGAGAGACACTGGGGAGAGCAGACCAGAGCACAGCCGAGTGGGAGAACAGAGAAAGAGTGAAAGTGTGGGATATCCTGAATGACAAACAGTGGTGACAACAGTGGGAAGAGTGTGGGAGACGAGACACAGGATAGGGAGACCCACCCAGAGAATCGAGAGCTGGGATAGGGGCAAGACAGTGGCAGGAAGGCTGGTGGAGAGAGACTGGGAGATAGTCCCACAGAAGCAAAGATATCACGAGGTTGGAGAGGGGAAGGAGGTGTAAGACGGAGCAGAGAGATCAGCAGGATAGTGCAGACGGACAGAGACCAGGCTGTCCGGAGGCAGGAGTCCGGCAGAGGACGGCAAAGAAATCCTCTGACTCGGACAGGCAGAGAGAGACTGAGGCCGACCCTTTCCAACGGGCTCTAGACCTCAGCTCTGTGGGGCACAGTGGGACGCAGGCGACCCAGACAAGGGGTGCTGGCTCGTGCAAGGTTCAGCGGACGCCAGGGGTCTCTGAAATGGAGCTCAGGGAGCCCGAGAACCATGAGGATGGGGACCCAGAGGTGAGAGACGGGAGACAGGGAAAGAGAGAGAGATGCAGAAAAACAGAGTCAGAGATAGACACAAAGAGGGACATGGACAAACACAGAGGGATGGAAGAGACAGGGAAACAGAGAAACAGAGAGACCCAGAATAACACCAACCCGAGGACACAAAGCTAGACTCAGGCCGCCAGGGCAATGGACTCAGAAACAAAGAATGGGAAGCACAGGGAGAGGATGGAGAGAGAGATGGGTGCAGTGGGGGTTGTGTGAGCAGAGCGTGAAGTCCCAGCCGAGGCTGGGGGCTTCTTGTGGTTCCCAGAGATGGGCAGGGTCTCTGAGACAATCACCCCGACCCTGCCAGGACACAAAAACAGGTGGCCCAAGGCCGGTGAGTCACTGTGACTCATCCTCCTCCCTGGGGACAATGACCCCATTACCCTGGCACCCCACCCCAGCCCTGGGCTGGACCTCCAGTTTCCCCCACCACTCTCAGGGGGCCCCAGACTCACCCCCTCCCCACCTCTGCTCCTCTCCAACAGGAGGACACAGCTACAGCCCTCCAACGGCTCGTGGAGCTGACAGCCACCAGGGTGACCCCAGTGAGGAATCTACGTGTCCCGTACCGCCTCATCCGAGAGCTCGGCTCTGGCTCCTATGGCCGCGTACTCCTTGCCCGGCCTCGCCAAGGAGGTGAGTTTGGCCACCAAAGGACAGACTCCAGCATGTCCCTAGAATAGGATTCTCAGAAGCCACCGAGACAAGGGGCATCCCCAGGAGATGACAGGAACCCTGGACGGGGGCGCTCAGAAAGTGAAGAGCTCTTTGATCTTCCAATAAACAGAGCTAGCCCAAGGAAGGCTGACTTGCCCGAGGTCACACAACAAGGCAGGAGTGAGGTTTGGATTGGAGCTCAGGTCACCATGTTCCCTACTTGACTCAAGAGAAAACTGAGGCTCAGAGAGGGTAAAGCAGTTGCGTGAGGCCACACAGCCGAATAGGGAGTCCTCAGGGATGGTCACCTTTCACCCTTACTTCACACAAGGACAGACTGGAAGCTGAGAGATGTCAGACACTATTCCCTCCCATTCTTGTTTTACACATGAAACATCTGAGGTTCAGAGAGGTTAAGCAGGTTGCCTAAGGCCTCACAGCAAGATCAGAGCTCTCTGAGTTCCCTTCTGCTCCCCTCTACCTGGCAGGACCTGCTGTGGCCCTGAAGGTACTTCGTCGGGATTCGGTCCTGAGGACCACCTTCCTGAGAGAGTTCTGTGTGGGCCGCTGTGTCTCTTCACACCCAGGCTTACTGCAGACTCTGGCAGGACCCCTGCAAAGCCCCCGACACTTCGTCTTCGCCCAGGAGTACGCGCCATATGGGGACCTCAGCGGGATGCTGAAGGAACGGGTGAGGCGGGTGGGGGCCCAAGGCCAGAAAGGCTTATCCCATGTACAACTGTCCCTAACCCATTTCTAGCTCCAATCCTGACACCCAAATCAGTGCTCAACCTAGCCCTTCCCTAAGCCCCAGACACCCTCCTTATTTCTAACTCTCGGTGCAATCCCATGCCTAACCCTAACCTAATCCACCCAACCATCCCACCACAAGTTTGCATGGGCAGGGACGTGGGGTTGGGTTGGGAATGAGATTAGGGGTGAAATTTTAGTTAGCACTGGGATTGGGAGTGTGGGCATGCGTGGAGTGGTGGGGGTTGATTATAGATTGGTAATGGGTGTAGAAAGTATGGATGGGGTTGCAGGGTGAGACAGGGATGGTTGACGATATGTATACAGAATGAGCTGGAGATCGGAGATGAGTAATGAGGTTCTTTCTGCTGAGGAGACCAGGTCAGGACTGAATTCATGAGATTCTGAGGGTACATGAGTTTGAAGATTAGGATGGAGCCAATTTTAGGAATAAATTTTGGATTTCAGACAAGGTTAGAGATAAGCAGAAGGAAAGAAAGAAGGGAGGGAGACAGATGAATGGGCAGAAAAATGGATGGATGGATGGATGGATGGATGGATGGATGGATGGATGGAAAGACAAGTGGATGGACGAAAAGATGGCTGGATTGAGGGGTTGGTGGATGGTAGACGGATGGGAAGATGGATGGATGGATGGATGCGTACATGTATGGGTAGATGGAGAGATGGATGGAAAGATGGGAGAGTGGCTGGATGGTGGATGGGTGAAAAGATGGCTGGGTTGATGGGTGGCAGATAAATGGAAGGAAGCGAGGAAGAACAAATGGATGGATTTTGGATAACAAATAATTCAATACTTGATTGGATTGCTGACTGGCTGGTAGAATGGAAGCTAAGCAGAAACACTGCTGTGTAAACTTGAATGGATGAGTGGTTTGATGGATGGATTGATTTATCAATCCAATGAAGTAAACTGACTTCAGAATGGTGTCTGAGTTAGAGAATTAAATTAGTAGGAATTCTACTAGTAGTGGAATCTAAATTAGTAGGAACTAAGATTGGGACTAAGTATGAGATTTCGGTTCCCATTGGAGATCTGGGAGATCAGGCTAGAGGAAACAGGATGTGTAAGGAGGGGGTTTGAGTTAGGGTTAGAAGAAAGTTTGGTGGAAGCTAAAACAGCTTCTGGTTCAGTCTGGGGTTCCGGTGATGACACACTGGGGGTTGGAATACAGAGGTTGTAACAAGGTGTGGCTGAGGATAACCTGGAGACGGTGTTGGGGGACACTAGAGGTAGCCACTGGTCTGAGGTTCTGAATTCTTGATCTCCAAGAAACCAAATAAAGAAGGAGCCAAGGCACCCTGACCTTCATCTCTCCTTGACCCCAGGGCCTCCCAGAGCTGCTGGTGAAGCGGGTGATGGCCCAGCTGGCTGGAGCCCTGGACTTCCTCCATGGCCGGGGGCTCGTCCATGCGGATGTCAAACCAGACAACGTGCTGGTCTTTGACCCTGTCTGCAGCCGTGTGGCCCTAGGTGACTTGGGTCTGACCCGGCCCGAGGGCAGTCCAACCCCTGCCCCACCAGGGCCACTACCCTCTGCCCCACCCGAGCTCTGCCTCCTGCTGCCACCTGAGACCCTGCCCCTGCGACCAGCTTTGGATTCCTGGGGCCTGGGGGTGCTTCTCTTCTGCACTGCCACCGCCTGCTTCCCTTGGGATGTGGCACTGGCCCCGGACCCCGAGTTTGAGACCTTTGCTGGTTGGATGACCACCAGGCCCCAACCCCCTCGGCCACCCCCTCCTTGGGACCAGTTTGCTCCCCCAGCTCTGGCATTGCTCCAGGGGCTCCTAGACCTGGATCCTGACACTAGGAGCCCCCCACTGGTTGTCCTGGACTTCTTGGGGGACGACTGGGGGCTAGAGAGGAACAGAGAGGGACCTGGGGGCTTGGGGGACATGTCTAGTGAAGATGGGGAGGAGGAGGAAGAGGGGGGAGCAAGCCTGGAGGAGTGGACAGATGAGGAGGAGGAAGAGGACAAAGATGGCAGGAGGATGGGGACAGATGGGGGAGCTCCCTGACCAGGTGACTGAGACAGGTGGTCAGAGCCTGGGCCAATGGCCCCTCTCCCCCCCCCCCCCCGCCACCTGGATGACAGCTGCTCCCCGGAGGACGGAGATGGAACACAGTGCATCTCTCCCTGCTGAGGGCTGGACTGGGAAGCACAATTCCCCTCTCAGCAGAGGACCTAGGAGTCCAAGAGTCAGCCCCTCCTCCCTCAGACTGGAGCCCAGGCCCCCAGCCCCCTCCTCTCTCAAGGACCCTTCCTCTTCCTTCTGTCCTGACTGTGCTTTCTTGAAGGAAGGCCTTGCTCCCCGTAGACACGTTTCCGCACTGCGGGGACCTGCCGAGTGCCTCTCACGGAGCTCTGACCGGGCCACTCGTCCCCACTGCCACCTGGTTGACTCTCGCCGTCTGTGGCACTATGAGTTCTCAAGATCCAGCACCACGGAAACCTCACCCTGCACCTCTTCCATTTCCCTGGACTCCGGGTGACACTGGGGCAGTCACTCATCCTGTCTGGACCTAAATCCTTGCACGCACACAAGCACTGTCCTGCCACTGGCCCTCTGCGCATAGTGCATCCTCCCCCAAGAACTTTACTCACAGCTCAGTGCCTCCAAGCCCTCTCCGGCCTCGTTGGAACCTATACCTAGGCGACCTCTGTCTCCCATGGTTTTTGGCCTCACCTGTTGGGCTGTCTGGGGTGGACTTGGTTTTCCTCCTTTCGACATCTTTTCAGTTCTGCTCCCGCCGGAGGAGGGACTCTGCTCCCCATTGTGCCAGCTCCCTACCAGCACGGAGCATCGAGGTGTGGGGCTGTCCCAGCTTCGTGGGCCTCGGAGTCTGCACTGAGAGCCCCAGGCCCAGCTGGGACATTCGCCCTCCCGCCTGCAGCACGAGCCTGATGGCTGGGGCCTCCCACCTGCGGGGCATCCCAGGCCCTTCCCAGGGCCCAGCTCAGGCTCCCCATCCCAGGGAATCTGCCCTGTGTGCTTTCTACACTCAAAAGAGTGGGTTCACCAAGTGCCATGTGGTGTCCTGGATCGGACCCGGGACAGAAGGCGGTTGGCGGAAGCGCTGCTAAGACCTGATCCAGAGTCTACTCAGGGTCTAGCCTGACTGATGACTCCTTTGTTTGGACAAATGTATCCTTGCCTGAGTGAGATACCAGCCTGGCGGGGAGCTGGGGACGGCCTGGCGGTTCTCCGCACCATCCTTCCAGCTGTTCTGGAAATTGAAAACTATTCTGAAATAAAAGGTTTGTTTAAAAAAATGAAGGGAGTTTCACAGTGGTCATCTTGCTGCAAACCAAGGAAAGGATGTGAATCCTGGGCCCCCAGCCCCTCCTCCATCAGGCCCAGGAGTGCCTGCCTTGCCCCCCCCCAACCAACTCTGAAGTCTGTAGATGCAGAATGAGGACCTCCCCCAACCCGCCCCTCCCAGTTGCTCCACCACCTGCTTCCCCTCTGCCCCAAGTCTGACATCATCTCTCACTGCATCGTTCTGGAATCTGGTTGTCTCATCCTTTCCCCAAACAGGACCCCAGTGTCCGATCCCCTGAACACCCCTCACGAAACACTTGTGTCTGACCTGTCACTGGGGTATTGATGGGGCAGCTGGTGGGGTCATGGCAGGGCCAAACAAGAGAAATGAGTTCATCCTCCACAGGGGCTTGGACTCCTGGTCTGAGGGAAGAGGGGCTGGTGTCTGGACTCCTGGTCTGAGGGAGGAGGGGCCTGGGGTCTGGACTCCTGGTCTGAGGGAAGAGG